TTCATTCATTCACCAAATGAACAAATACTTACCAGGTATTTGTTCATCTCCTGCTGTGCATGGGGGTGGGGGTTAGGAGAGAGAGCAGACCAGGGTGGCTTCATTCTAGCCAGCAGTTAATAAATGGGATATTACAGAGTTTGGGGCATGTCTTTTAACCTACATTAAAAGATGCCCTGAATTTTTAACATACACTGTACAGTTTGATGACTATTGCCTTAAAGAATGTTTCAAATATCTTGTTAAATTTAGTCCATTCAGACTTCCCTAGTACACCTGCCAATACAGGGAACACAGGTTTAGTCCCTGGTCTGGGAAGATTCCATGGGCCGTGGGGTGACTAAGCCCGTGTACTGCAACGATTGAGCCTGCATTCTGGGCCTACGTGCCACAACTGCTGAAGCCCGCCTGCCCGGAGCCCGTGCTCAGTGACAAGAGAAACCACTGCAATGAGAAGCCCGTGCACTGCAGCTAGAGAAAGCCCAGCAACAAAGACCCAGCCTAACCAGAAACATCCCAAAGAAAGGCAATGCCAAAGAATGCTCAAACTACCACACAATTGCACTCATCTCACACGCTAGCAAAGTAATGCTCAAAATTCTCCAAGCCAGGCTTCAACAATACCTGAACCATGAATTTCCAGATGTTCAAGCTGGTTTTAGAAAAGGCAGAGGAACCAGAGATCAAAATTGCCAACATCTCCTGGGTCATCGAAAAAGCAAGGGAGTTCCAGAAAAACATCTATTTCTGCTTTATTGACTGTACTAAAGCCTTTGACTGTGTGGATCACCACAAACTGTGGAAAATTCTGAAAGAGATGGGAATAACAGACCACCTAACCTGCCTCCTGAGAAATCTGTATGCAGGTCAAGATGCAACAGTTAGAACTGGACATGGAACAACAGACTGGTTCCAAATAGGAAAAGGAGTACGTCAAGGCTGTATATTGTCACCTTGCTTATTTAACTTATATGTGGAGTACATCATGAGAAACATTGGGCTGGATGAAGCACAAGCTGGAATCAATATTGCCGGGAGAAATACCAATAACTTCAGATATGCAGATGACACCACCCTTATGGCAGAAAGTGAAGAGGAACTAAAAAGCCTCTTGATGAAAGTGAAAGAGGAGAGTGAAAAAGCTGGCTTAAAGTTCAACATTCAGAAAACTAAGACCATGGCATCTGGTCCCATCACTTTATGGCAAATAGATGGGGAAACAATGGAAACAGTTTCAGACTTTATTTTTTGGGGCTCCAAAATCACTGCAGATGGTGATTGCAGCCATGAAATTAAAAGACGCCTACTCCTTGGAAGAAAAGTTATGACCAACCTAGATAGCATATTAAAAAGCAGAGATATTACTTTGCCAACAAAGGTCCATCTAGTCAAGGCTATGGTTTTTCCAGTAGTCATGTATGGATGTGAGAGTTGGACTGTAAAGAAAGCTGAGCACCGAAGAATTGATGCTTTTGAACTGTGGTGTTGGAGAAGACTCTTGAGAGTCTCTTGGACTGCAAAGAGATCCAACTAGTCCATCCTAAAGGAAATCAGTCCTGAATATTCATTGGAAGGACTGATGTTGAAGCTGAAACTCCAATACTTTGGCCACCTGATGTGAAGAACTGACTCATTTGAAAAGACCCTGATGCTGAGAAAAATTGAAGGCAGGAGGAGAAGGGGATGACAGAGGATGAAGTGGTTGGATGGCATCACCGACTCAATGGACATGAGTTTGCGTGAACTCTGGGAGTTGGTGATGGACAGGGAGGCCTGGCGTGCTGCAGTCCATGGGATCGCAAAGAGTCAGACACAACTGAGTGACTGAACTGAAATGAACCAAAAATAAATATATTTTTTAAAAGATATTTCATTATTATTTAATTATTTAAAAAATTTAGTCCCCCTCCACTTCCCCGATTCCATTGACTATATTAAGTCCATGGAATTCTCCAGGCCAGAATACTGGAGTGGTAGCCTTTCTCTTCTCCAGGGGACCATCCCAACCCAGGGATCGAATCCAGGTCTCCCGCATTGCAAGCGGATTCTTTACCAGCTGAGCCACAAAGGAAGCCCTCTTTCTTTTAGAACATATGTATCAATTATGTGCGATTTTTAGAAAGGTCTAATTTTTATCAAAGAGTAAATATAGGGCCACAGTGACCTATCAGATAGAACCTAGGAGATTTTGTTGAGAACTCTCTATGCTGCCCAAGTCATAGTCCTGTCCTTGATACCAGTCTTGCCGGGTGTTGGGGGCTTGGGAAACCATCAGGACACAGTTCCAGCCTTCACACTGCTCCACGCTGGGCAGCGGATAGATGTAGAGACAATCTAGGCTGTTAGAGGGACTGAAGGAAGTGAAAGCAATGATGTCCGGAGGAGGTGGCTTCTGAGCAGAGACTTGAAGCCTGAACTCCATGTGGTGGATGAAGCCCTGCATTTGGGGTCATGTCCAGACTCTAGGCATGGCACAGCCTTTTCTTTTGTGAATCCAGCAGTCACTGAAGGACTGTCCATCCCTGTGTTGGGAAGGCACTTGGGTATAAATCCTAATGCCACTGCCCTGATGAAAAGATTGGTCTGGTAAAAGACAACGCAAGTGATGTAGTGGTTGCTTCATTCATTCATTCAACAAGCATTTATTGAGTACCTATCCCGTGTTAGGTGCTAGTCTAGATATTTGGGAGGCATCATCAGTGTACAGAAAGACTAAGACCCCTTGGCCTCAAAGGCCCTTCATTTTCATAGGAGAAATCCAACTATGAGCAATGAATGTGGTAAATAAGTAAATTACATAGAAAGCTAGAAGGTGAAGGGGCGATGGAATGATGAGCAAGGGTGAGCAGGGCAAGGGGAGTCGGGTGTGTGGGCTTCGGAGCCCACCGAGGTCAGAGGCTGGTGTCTGAGCCAGTTTGTTATGAAAACCTCTCTGAGCAAAGAGGGTCTGGATGAACTGATGATTGTGGGAATGTGGGCTTTTCCAACCTCCACACGGACCGCTTGGCGATGTCCATCCAAATTACAGATGCACCCACTGTTGGATGCAGCGATTATGCGGATTAATCCTACAGATAGACTCACACCCATGCAAAATGACGGATGTACAAAAATATTCACCAGAGCAATGTGAGAATAGCACAAACCTGGAAACAAATCAATTGCCCGTGTGCTCAAGTAGTTCAATATATATGTTACAGCCATGCTAGGGCACACCAGAAGACAAAATTATGATCTGATATAAAACACTTTCCAGGATGTGTTGCTAGGAGAAATATAAGGTGCGAAATGGTGTGTATAGAGCATTGTCATTTATAGAAAAGAAGTGACTCTAATGTGTATGCAGGGACTCTCTCTGAAAGGATGTATGGAAAGCTGGTAGATGCAGTGATTGTCTCTGGAGAGGGGCGGTGGATGCCTGGGAGGTGGGGGCCGGCGACTTTTCCTTCTGTTGCTCTTTGTGTACTTTGGGAATTTTAAATCATGTGAATATAACCTAATAAAAAATTCTTTTCAATTGCAATAAAATGGACAGCTGGTGTTGATACCCCACCCAGATCCCTTTATTGTCCAGCACAGCTGGACAATATTGTCCCCCATCTGCTGGGAAAGTATTAGTTGCTCAGTTGTGTCCGACTCTTTGTGACCCCATGGACTGTAGCCCACCAGGCTCCTCTGTCCGTGGAATTCTCCAGACAAGAATACTGGAGTGGGTTGCCTTTCCCCTTCTCCAAGGGATCTTCCTGACCCAGGGTTCGAACCCCGGTCTCCTGCATTGCAGACAGATTCTTTCCCGTCTGAACCACCAGGGATAGCACAGGCCGAAAATGGCTCACCGCTGGCACAGTTCGCTGCAGAAATGTCCTGGGCCAAACGGGGGCCACCCTTCTCAGGTCATGGCTCCCTTTTGTCCCTTAAGTCACAGCCAACGACTGACGTGCATGGGCTACAGAAGCCCCGCCCCTGGCTTCAGGCAGGTACAGCTCTGAGGTACCATCCCTGCCCCCGAGCAAGCTTGTGGTGGGATAAGGCTACAGCAAGCCTCCACTGGGGCCCCCTCCTTGGTTCGCTTCTTCCCCTACCCTATTCTGATCCCTCCCTCCCTTACAGGTTATTCCTAAAGCACACTTCTCAAAGATCACATGCCTTTGAATCCTTTCTCAGGCTCTGCTTCTAGAGAACCTGATCGCAGACACTTGTCTCAAGTGAAGGGAACTGGAATGGAGCCAACAGCTTTGCGCTTTCTGGTGCAGCATCCCCTGGAGGGAGGTTTACCGTTGTCTCCCCTTTTGACAGGCACCTCCGGAGTTTAGTCTCCAGCTCAAGGTCACCCATCTTGAGAAAGGGGAGCCAGCGGCTCCGGAGCCCCCGCTTCTCCAGCTACACCTGCTCCCTCTTGCAGACATATTTTCCCAAACCCAGCCCTGGCAGCTCTCAAAACCCAGGGTTGTAGTTCCTGTAGCTGGTTTCTACCACAGTCCTCAATGCCTGTGGTCAGGGACGGCCTGAAGAGCAAGGGTAAGGGGACAGAGCCCCTTCGGATGGTAATACCTGGAGGATGGGTCAGGGGCAGGCTGTCCTGATCCCAGGGCTCTGAAGATCTTGGCCTCCCTCCAGTATGTGGAATTCCAGCTCTAGCTGAGTGCCTGATGTCATTTTGGACAGGAGAAATATTTGCATACTTCCAGAGACGGGGTGCTCAGTATCTGACAAAGCAGTCTGTCACATCTCTGGACAAGGTGTAAAGGGCAGAAAGGTATTCCTCTCTGTATCCTACTGTGATGAACCCAAGCCATGAAGGTCATGGAATAAGGACGCCTCCTTCTACCCTAGAGAGAGCTCTGCTGAAACAGAGACTGGGCATCTTGGGTTCAGTCTTTGCTCCTCCAGCTTCCAGTCTTTCCCCCTCAGTACTAGAGTCCCCTGACCTCCTTGGGCTTCTCCTGGGCCCTTCTGGAGAACATTTTCATCAGAGCTGCCTCTCTGTTTCTCTGTTCCAGTTTGATGGTGAGAGTGCCTACGTGGGGATGAGTGACGGAAACCCAGAGCTCCTATCAACCAGCCAGGTGGGTGCCCAGCCTCCCTTGGGCTGCTGGAGCTGAGCTGCTCTCAGGGTGGGGTGGCAGGGGTGCGGAGCTGGAGGCATAGCCCCCTACTGTCCCCTCTCAGGATGATCAAGGATATAAATTGGTTGTAACATCTAATTGTTAGGGCCTTCGCTGGTGGTCCAGTGGTTAAGACTCTGCACTTCCGATGCAGGGTGCATGGGTTCAGTCCCTGGTTGGGGAGCTAAGATCCCAGGTGCCTTGTGTGCAGCAAAAAATTTAAAAAAATTAAAAAAACATCTAATTGTTAAGAAGCCTGTCTAAATCATAAATGTCATTGTTCTTCTACTGGTAACTTTCCAAATTAGACTATAATTTTTTAACAAAAAAAAAAAAAGCCTTTATAAGCTTTTTTGAACCAAGTCTATAAACTTCTGATTTTTTTAGAAAGCAACGTCGATTGAGTTTTCCTTCAAATGGACAAACTGGGACTGTAGTGTTTCCTGTAAATCAACTACCTGGGTTGAAAACTTGATAAAACTCGAAATGTGTTGTCTGCGCTCTCCACGCACAGAGGGGAGATTTTCAGCTGCACCAAATATACATGTCACATGGCCCTGGTGGCCCTGCCTCTTACCACAACACAGCACCCATGGGGACAGGCGCTGGTGTTTAGGCGCTAACACCCATACATCAGCATTCAGGGTTCTCCTGCCCACCTGGAGTTGTCTCATGCTCTGGGTAGGGTTGTGGACGTGGAGGAAAGGGAGGAGAGTGGAGGCTTCCTGTGCAGTTTTTCTTGGTGGGGACAGAAGCTGAGTCATCCCAGGGAAGACCAGCCCTGGCCCCAGTCCAGCCCCCCGTGAGTCCCAGACACCAGTTGGACAGATTTTCCACTACTAGCCTGGTCTCTGAAAATTAAGGTCTCTCTCAGCCAGGAGCATCCTCACTCTAGACTCAGATGCCACAGAGGGTCCTCACTGAAGTCTGGGACCCCAAGGAGGGTCCTGCAAAGATCCTAGAAGATGCTTCCCAGTGGTACCTCCTGGGTGGCAGCAGCTTGGGGTGCTGGATGGAGGGCGAAGGGATTTCATAGCCATTGACCAACTTGATGGATCTGGGACACAAGCCTGTCCCTGGAGCTGCTGTGGCCTCTCTGGCTGTGTAATCGTGGCAGTCATGGCAGTTGGGTGGCTGGGATCACATTTTCCAGTTGGAGAAACAGAAGCCTATTAATTCACAAATATTTATGTGCCCTGCTACGTGAGAGGTTCTATTGGGGACACAGATGAGAAAGACATGGGCTTGTGGCTCTTGGGGAACACTACTGACAAGAAAAGAGACTACGTCTCAGCGTGGTGTGGAAACTCTGTTACAGGGCGCTGGAGCCCACACCCACCCCGACCCCCACCTCACCCCCCAGCAACTGTAGCAAGGCGCCTGTGGGCCCACATGTCATCCCCTTCTCTGGTCTGTGACCATGTGAGCACCAGAGGGGCTGCTGAAAAGCTGCCTTTATATTGCACTGACAAGCTGCAAGAACTGCTGGGTAAGACTCCAGTTCTGGAAATGCCTATTTTGGAAGAAATCACAGAAGTCATTTAATTGTCCATAAGCCACTAGGAAATGTGGTTGGTTCAAAAACCAGAGCTTACTCCTGAACCTCTTATCTGAGTCCTTTCACAGTGTTTCGATTTGTTGTTCCTCAGTCGTGTCTGACTGTTTGTGACCCCATGGACTGCAGCACGCCAGGCCTCCCTGTCCTTCACCATTTCCTGGAGCTTACTCAAACTCCTGTCCATTGAGTCGGTGATGCCATCCAACCATCTCGTCCTTTGTCGTCCCCTTCTCCTCCTGCCTTCAATCCTTCCCAGCATCAGCATCTTTTCTAATGAGTCCACCCTTCGCATCAGGTGGCCAAAGCTTTGGATTGCTAACATCCTGACTCAGAACTGTTACGCTGGAGTCTGCTCTGGCTCGGTCCCTAGTGGAGAGGGTTGGTACTGCACTTCCGCCGGGAAGGGCAAGTGGGCCTCAGGAGCTCTGTGTCTGCTCGAGGCTTGGGCAGAAGGGCACCGCCCCACGAGGGGGAGCTGCAGGACAAATAAATGTGGTTATTTCAACTGGCTTTCAGGACAGCTTTGAGAAGTGTCGTGAAAAAATAAGATGTTATCATTAACCACATTTCATAGAACAGGCGACTGAGGCTCTGGGATGTTGACTGACTCCGCCAGGGAGTGGTAGAGACGGAATGTGAATCTGCACGGCTGGGACTCAGAGCTTCGCGTTACCTTATTGTGTTTGTGGAGAGCTCCGTTCCCACCTCAAGGCTATTGTCAACTTGCTTCGGCCTAAATGTCTCTTCCTTAGAGCACTCTATGTGAGCCCGAATCCAAGTAGGTCCCTTCTCCATAATTGTCTTTCATGGTACCACGTCCTTTTAGTTCACAGCGTTTGTTACTGTGGTTTTTGCTTATTTGTTTAATGACTTGTTTAACATCTGATTTCCAACTAGACTGTGACCTCCCTGAGGGAAGGATCTGGTCTCCCTTATTCTTTGTTGTGCCTTCCTGATGGGCCATGCTGCCTGGCACAAAGGAGGCATTCGGGAAACATGTATGTAATGAATGCATTCCTTAACAGTGGAACAATGTGGTTGGACCCCCTAACGGTCCTTCCTGGTCTCATGCACTGTCACTCAGAGTCTCCCCAACTTAGAACTTTATAAAGGAGACATCAGGATTCCCAGAGTCCATATGGTGGCGTGAGCTAACCTTGACGTCCTTTATAAAGGAGACATCAGGATTCCCAGAGTCCATATGGTGGCATGAGCTAACCTTGACGTCAGCAGCCTTAGCAATTACAGTCTAGACTTCTTAAAGTGTATCAATTAGCTTTTGCTACATAACTTGCACACCCCACCCCCCAAACTTAGTGGTTTAAAACACAAATATTCATCTAATTCATGACTCTATGGCTTGGAAGTTTGGTTGAGTTCAGCTGGGTGGCTCTTCTGGTCATGGCTAGGATCATTTAAGTGCAACCGTCAGCAGCCAGGTAGGCTGTTGGCTAATTGTTATGGGGGAATCCCTTCTACTTCAGATGGTCTCTCCTGCTCCAGCAGGCTAGACCGAATTTGTTTACCTGGTGGGAGAAGGGTTCCCAGAGCAGCAAGAGCCAAAGCTGCAAGACCTCTTGAAGTCTGGCATATGACTACTTCTAGCACAGACTGTTGATCAAAGCAAGTCACAGGGTCAGTCTAGAGTCAAGGAATGAGAAAACAGACTCTGTTGATGGGAAGCACTGCAAAGTAATATGATCTTTTAACAAACTGTCACATATGGGAAACATGTGGGATGTAGTACATGCTAATTTTACTTAAAAATAAAAATAAGACCTGCAGCTCCAGTGGTTTGGTAGGGTTCCACTGACCTCTAGTTCTTTTTGTTTATTGAAGTATAGCTTATTTATGTTGTTGTGTTAGTTTCAGGTGTGTAGAAAAGTGATTTGGTTATTTTATACATACATACACACATATATATGTGTATATATTCTTTTTCAGATTCTTTTCCATGATAATTTATTACTAGCTATTGAATATAGTTCCCTGTATTATACAGTAGGTCCTTGTTGTTTATCTATTTTATATATAGTGTGTGTATCTGCTAATCTCAAACTCCTAATTTATCCCTCATTCCCTTTTCCCCTTTGGTAACCTTAAATGTGTTTTCTATGTCTGTGAGTCTATTTCTGTTTTATAAATAAGTTCATTTGTGTCATTTTTTTATATTCCACATATAAGTGATATCATATGGTATTGTCTTTGTCTGGCTTACTTCATTTTAGAGTGATATTCTCTAGGTCCATCCATGACAATGCAAGTGGCAATATTTCATTCTTTTTTATCACTGCATAGTATTCATTATATATATATGCATATATATAGATACATATATACACACCACATCTTCTTTATCTGTTCATCTGTTGAATAGATGAAGGACATCTATTGAATAGGACAAGGCCTATAATTCTTAATGGCAAAAGTTCTGTGTCTTTCCTTCCAGTCTTTTCCCTGGAATGCTTGCTTGAACCCACACATGCACATTTGTACATGAGAACTAGCCATGGTGTGTGGTCTTATCAACCGTAGGAATTGTATTGTCCTGGTTATCAAGGGATGGACATAAACATGTGGGCAAGCAAAGGCCTCATAGCTAATAGAGGATTCAGAGGATAAACACTTGCAATGGCATGAAATGCATTTTATAAATATGTTATAATAATTGTATTTATATGTATAAAATAAATTGTTTTTACATTGTATTATTATAAATACAACTGTATTTTATAAATACAGTTAAATACAAGTGACATCTATTTACCAAATGTTTATTGGGCACTTATTATGCATAAAAGCTCTATGTGTAATATGTTTCCTTCCAGAAAGCCCAATTTCATCATGTTAAAAACCTTGCTCTTTAAGGTAACCTTCTCCTGAAACATGGTATTCCTTATCTCTGTAGCTGAGACAGAGGTTCCTAGAGGATGTATGTTAGCCAACTGTGTCCCCTCGTAAAACCTTTCAAACTGGTTCTCATAGCTTGACGTTTCTTTTGTAAATGCATGCTTCATTGTTTGCTTTTTTGCAAGTCTACAAAATTCCTGCATAGCAGCCTTAGTTTCCATATATTATCCCTTTTCTTCCCTCCCTTGAGGACCTTGAGTTTCTTTGCTACCAGACTTTACTGGATGGTCTGAGCCTGAGATGCAGTAGTCAGACATAATTTCTGGCCCATCAGTAGCTTCTAGGGGTGGCAGGCCTGGTAGAGATCAGCTCTTCCCCATCCTGAGAGGATACCCCATTTAAGAGTTACAGGGATTGATTGTTCCTGGTCAAGTGACCCAGAAAGAGTTGCCCCCTTTCTGCCTGGGATGAGAGTGAGGAGGAAAAGAACTGGGCTTGGGTCTTAGCAGACCTGAATTCAGATTTCCATATACCAGATTTCCAGATTACCAAA